CCCAGCTACCCATCCCAGCCAGGCTCACACCTGCAGCTGGGAGTTGCAGGGTGACATGGAGAAGATGCGTTTTCCCTGGTGCAACCCTCACTTGTGTGGAATGGTACTGAGGGACTGGTACAGAGTTTGCCAAGAGTACCTCCACCTTTAGCTCTGTAGAACCATATCGAACAGTGGCAAATGGCAGCAGACGTAAAACGAGTGCTGGTAAAGTTTATCGGGTGCTCATGGGAAAGTGCAATTTCCGTATAGGGCACATTGCACAATCAACAATCGGCAAAGAAGAAGCATTACAAACCGGTTTGATCTTCACGGTTTCAACTGTAAAATGTAATTGTTTCTCCATTTGTGCTACAGTTTGCCCATCTTGACCTCATTGTACGTACACTGGCCACAAAGACCAGTAGCACCACATGCTTTAATAATAATAATAGTAATAATAAAGCGCCTTTAAAGGTGGCTTCTCAAAGCGCTTGTCTTGAATGCTGCTTTAACACTTGCTATTGTGTGAAAATGAGAAATCAACCCAGCTATTTCAAAACAGAACGCATAGAAGTAGAAAGATTTCTAAAAAAGGCCACCTCATACATCACTCTGTGTACACTCTACAGCCGTGGAGGAAACATGGCTATAATTTTATTTCTCATCATTCTTCATCTTCATCATTCTTCGCTCTGTCACTTTCAAGTGTCGTCTCGTATTTGTCTTGAATGCTGCTGCCGCGTGTAGCAGCTGGACGAACACCAGCTGCTAATAAGCCTTGTATGAGGTCTGGGACAGAGGCGTCTCTCCAGCAGTGCTCAGCAGTGTTAGATGGCAGGCAAGAGCCTTGAGGACAGACCTGCACAAATAACAGGTGGTTTCTTGGACAGATTGATTTTATAACTTGAGGTTGTAAAGTAAAAAAAAAAAGGCAAGTTACTGGGAGATTTCCTTAGCTTTTAGAAAGATATGGTTTGGTATGCTGCTTCTAGAACTAAATGTTTATCTTGCCGCTTGGCAATGCATTTTGCGATCTCCTCATGAAATTGTAGCCGTTGTTATTGAACATAATCCGGATTTGTGTTTTGTAGTATTTTAGATTAATGAGCGTGTAAAGAGGAGCGATGCAAGAAAAAGCTGCTAACTTACAAACTTGGTTTCTGCTCACTCAAGCTAAGTGATACTGTTAGAAACAAAGTTTTTTTTTTTAAGTAGTAGGAACCTCTAGTAGAGGTGTGGAGTGAATCCTTCTTGCTCTTCACATATATTCGCTCCTGGTTGCATCTAAGATGGCGCAGCATGGTGGCGCAGTGGTGAGCGGTGGTCTTGCAGCACTGGGGCTCTGGGTTCAGCTCCCGAGGTGCTGTCTGCGTGGAGTTCATATGTTCTCCCACTGTTCGTGTAGGTTTCCTCCCACATTCCAAAGACATACTGGCAGGTTAACTGGCTTCTGGGAAAATGTGTGTGTGTGTGCGCACCTGTTGCTTTCCAATATCCAGCTCCCCCATGAGCCTGTATTGGATGAAGCGATTAGGAAATGGATAGATGCATCTGAGATGTCTAACACCTTTTCACCGCAGTGCATGATTCTGTAACCTCTGACAGCTCTACAGTGTGTTCAGCCTTGCTCTGTTATGTACAGTGCCAGTCCAGCAAAATTGTTTTCTGTTGTGTTGCAAACTAGGGATCCCCATCCTACAGTCTTTGTGCAGTGGTAACAATGTTACCAAAGTTTAATGAGATAAGTGATGCAATTATTTCCAGCCGTCTTTGAATACTGGTGGGGAAAATAGGCGCGACCTTCTATATTATTCTAGACGGCCATTCTAAATCTTTGTTCAGAGCTGCTTCAGGACAAGAGATTTCTAGCAGGGTAGTTTGGCTTCACACCTGGATTTCAACCCTCGTCTTGCAGAATGCTACCGAAAGATTGCCAGATGCTGCTGTTCTCTGCCACCTTTGAGGATTCTGTGTGGAAGTTCGCACAGAGGATTGTCCCAGACCCCAACATCATCAAGCTCAAACGCGAGGAGGAGACTCTGGACACCATCAAGCAGTACTATGTCCTCTGCAACAGCAAAGAGGAGAAGTTCCACGCCCTCTGTAACATATATGGAGCCATAACCATTGCCCAGGCTATGATCTTCTGTCATGTAAGTACAGATGGAATGTGCTTTTGTAATAATCAAGAGTCTCCCAGGTTCAGAAGTAGAAATTAACCAGTGTTTTTAGGACTGAAAATGGAAACGTCTCCTTTGCACAAAAGACTGCCCAAAGTCCTACTAGAACATGAACCAGGGGACACAGATGGAAAAACGTGGGAATCAAGTCACCTCCTTACGCAAAGAGTTGTGGGAGTCTGGAACAAACTTCAGCCAAGTAAAGGAATGGCTTAATTGACTTTGTAATCATGCTGCAGTTTCGAATAGTAGCCAAACTGCTAGTTCCAAGAATGTCACTATTGTATATAACAAATTGTGGTAGAAGAGGTTATGCCGTTGGTCCTTCTTTGTAGGAAGAAGCCTTTCAGGTTCCTGTGCTGCAATCATGATTGAGGAACCATTTTTCAAAAACTGTATAGTCAAGGTGATAGACTATGTAATTGACCCTAATTAATGGGGAACTGTGCTATTTTTACATTTAGGGCTATAATGAATCTGCATTGCTGAGTGCATTTCAGACCACGGTGAAACTGAGCACACAGTAATGTGTACAACCTCCAATTTACATCACAAAAGAGACTGAATAGCAATGTATGCGTAGCGCTGTGTTGCCTCATTAAGGCAGCAAAACGTCCAGTGATGCAAAAGCAGCCCTGTTAAATTGGAAACATGCTTTAGAGAATTTTGCTCGTGTGTTAATTTGAAATATTTTTAACCAGTGCTCGCTATAGACTCCCACAAGCCTTTGTTTAAAATAACCACAGTTTCTACTTGCCCTGGGGTTCATAATTCACTGAAAATCTCACTGGGTTGACTTTGCCAGTGGCCCCCGAGGAATGTAAATGCTTGAGCCATGTCGACTTGTAGCCTTTTCTGCTCCAGCACTAGAGTGATTTGTTCATAGCTGCGATCGGAGCTAATTTCAGATCTACCAGCCGGGCGGTATCGAAAGGAAAGACGTTTGCAAAGTGTAAGCTGTAAGGGGGGGTTACACCGCCGGTCACGGATTTTCCCCTTCCCCGTCCTCCACAGACCAGGAAGACAGCGGGCTGGCTGGCAGGGGAGCTGTCCCGGGAAGGGCACCAGGTCGCCCTGCTGAGTGGGGAAATGATGGTGGAGCAGAGAGCCGCGGTCATCGAGCGCTTCCGGGAGGGAAAGGAGAAGGTTCTGGTCACCACCAACGTGTGCGCCAGAGGTGGTTATCGTGCACCTTCCGGACACCCGTCCAAACTGTGTCTGATGAAGACAGCGTCCCACGAGACCTGATGGACTTCCCTGCAGTTTGTTTTAGCTTATCTTTCATTAACGTATACACTGATAAGTTAAGACTGCAGCTTGTAGTGCTGATTCAGATTCTTTTTAATTTAGATTTTCATTTTTCCCTCTTACTGCATGAGTGGGGGTGATATAAAGAGATCTGAAATGGTTAAATGCTCAGCACAAATATGTTAGATTTAATGATTGATAGGCAATTGATGATAAATATACTGAAAGGACAAACAAAACTGTACACGTTAGTATTAAACTTATACTTGAACCCCAGATGATTTTTGGAAAATTCCCAACTTGACAGTCCTCTGCTGCACGGGTGCCTTAATCAAATTGGCAGTGAGTTCCAAGGATCCTTTGAGAAATGACTGATCAAGTGTTTGGGATCGGTTAACTAAGAAGCAAAAGATTTAAGATGAAGATCTTTGGTGTCGCTCTAAAGTTCTGGGCGCGTGTTTGATTTGCAGGGATTGATGTAGAGCAGGTATCCGTGGTGATCAATTTCGACCTGCCCGTGGATAAAGACGGGAATCCTGACAACGAGACGTACTTGCACAGAATTGGTCGCACGGGGCGTTTCGGGAAGAGGGGATTGGCCATCAACATGATCGACAGCAAGTTCAGCATGAATATCCTCAATCGAATCCAAGAGCACTTCAGTAAGTTAACTTTTACTTGCAGGTCTGGGGGGGTGGGTAGGGTTACAGGAGTCATTTTCTCTTTGAATCTGGCACGCTGCAGGTGGCCTTTTCGGTACTTTCAGGGGCGAGCTGTGAGGTGTATCGGTATTTTCTGGAGGATAAAGCAACACCCATCAGCAGCACTGTGAAGTACTCCTGACTGATGAATCCAGTGAAGACATTCACTTGGAGAGAAAGATGGACCCTATAGCCAAGAAGCTGCAGGTTTAGACCTGGGCTGTCTCTTTAGCCCCCAAGCAGTGGGCTTCTCCAAGTGATGATGACCCTGTTAACTGGGTTTTGTCAGCGCCTTTGTATTTTATGCTGATCGCTGTCAGCCCTCCAAGCAGTGCCTAAATCTGAAGCATCAAGCTTCCAGCTGAAAAAGGAGGGGATAGTGCATACTCCTAAATCTGAAGAGAGAGAACTAATATGGCACAATCCAGGCAGATGAGATGTTAATCAAGGTCCTGTTTATTCAGCATGGTCTTGTGGCTGTCAGACTCAAAAGGACAGTTTGTTTTTAAGACTTATCAGTTTTCTTTGTCCTTCAAAATGCTTTTTGCATGTTGTCTGCATTTTTGGGAGCAAAGTTTTTCCTTTTACATACAAGAGAAATACTAAGGTGTTTTTTTAAATCCAATAGGAACCTGGAGATTAGTCTTAAATCTTGTTTTAAGGTGGCGGAACAGAAAGCACACTCCTAACCCTCATTCAGGCTGGTTGAGTTTCAGTTGAGCCAGGTGTTCCGAACCCATTTTTGTATTTAGTTTTGACGTTCGGATCAACACCTGTGCTTTCCTGAAAGTGACATTTTTAATGCCCTACTGTGGAGGTCGGACTTGGTTAAAAAAAACTTATTGTCTAAGAGACAGAACCTGCAATTCAGTTCTCCCATTATAATAGGAATTGTAACTGAAACCTTTTTTCCCCCCAACAGACAAAAAAATAGAAAAACTGGACACAGATGACCTTGATGAAATTGAGAAAATTGCCAACTGAGGAGGCTGAAGCAGAAAATCTCTTCCAGCCTATTTCGTCGAGTGCTTTGTACTTCTGCACATGTTGGACTGGGGTTCAAATTGTCATGTTGTGTAGCCAGCAAAGGAAACAACTTCAGCATAAAAGAATCTTATACCTCATGTCAAATTTTTGCAATTGGATGGTATAATGCTCTAGGGAAATATTTTATTTTTTGTAACAGAATAACTAGATGGTGAAAGAAGGGGTTTACAAGAGATTGTAATTAGGTCTTAGCCTTAAAAGCAAAATATTTTAACTTCAGGTCAGTAGCTCTAAATGTCAACTAGATTCAATATGAGGTGACAGAATTGGTCAAGGTTTGGTTCTGGCTGGGTCTTTTGTTTTTAACAGTTTGACCACAGATAGAGGTAAAGCACTGAAATAAAAGATGATCTGTTGCAACGCGTGGTCCGATTTTAAGCAAAAAAAACATCCTGTGGCAGATGAATGACTAACTCTTTGGTTTCTGAGAAGTATCTGTTGAGTCTAATTTAGAGGAATTTGCATGAGCCAAAATACCTTTGCTGCTCTTGTTTTGCTTGCCTTTGCTCCAGAATAGTAGTTAGGACCTTTTGTCATTTGCTCAGTAGACCCCAGATAGGGGGAAGGAAGGAAAATGGCTTTAGAAAAGCAAAAGAATTGAAATTTCAGTTGCTCAAACATTTTTTCAGTGTCCCGAAAGGCTACATTTCAAGTCCTTCACCTGTGGAAGACTTACACCTCCGACACTGCTGTTATTGGGTGATGTGTCTCAACTGTAGCTTCCCAGCATCATGAAAGGAAATGGCTCAAAAGTGTGTCAGCAGTTTCTCTTAAAGTATGGAGAAGTCTGGTCCAAAATAAGAATCTTGCCAGAACTGAAACTTATGTTTTGGGTAAGGATGGGGGAAAAATCTGGAAGTTTACTGAAAGGTGGTTAAAAATGTTTTGGATTCTTTGGTTACCCATCCGGTTATTACAAAAACAAATTTCATGTAACTGACATTGGCAGTTTGTCAGATACTTTACGGTCCACATTGCAATAGATATCTATGATTTGAGTTTAGATCACTGGAGTGTTTCTCTGAGACTGATGAGCTGCAGTTGATTTTAGTGTTGAAGAAGGAAGATGTTTTGCCAAATATAACTCTAGTTAATGACTTGTACCAGTTAACATTCCTTTAACAGTATATCTTTTTTGTTTCCTAATCTGCGATATCTCTTCTGTACTCAAGTATGGGTACACTCAATTCAGACTTTACAATGCCATGCAATGGCTTTATAGTTTGCTGTAAATCGGAAGAGCAGAAGTATGCTTTTTAAGGATCACTTGGAAAAAGTCCTGTTTTAAAATCATGTTCCTGTTTAAACTCAGTATTGGAACTGCTTCAGATGAACAGATTGGCTTTTTCGGACAGAAAATGAGGGATGTATTTTTTTTTCTTTGCAACATTGGCTAGCAAGTTCTGTACAAAGACAGGAATTCAGACACTTTTACCGCGTAAAAATTTAGGCATATGTAAAGTGTACCTAAAATTTTAGGAACGACTGCACCCAGTTACTCTAATTTGTAAAAAGCTTAACTGAAGACAAAAAATGAATTTTTAATTGGTGTTCGGTTTTTTTGTACAATGGGGTGTATGCATTTTTATTTGGACTGCAATTGGATACTTATCTGCAGATGTTATGAGAGTGCTTGAGTGACATTAGTTGTTCTAAATGCCCCTGCATTTATCATTTGCATTTAGAGAGTCTGCAAATGGCAGCAGTACAAAATGTATGTTACACTGCTGTGTTTAATGGTTTTGTGGTTATTTCTAAGTAACATTTATTGTAATAAAGAATACCTGCTTACCGCCAGTTTATTTGGTGTTCTTTTTCGAATAATAATAGAATCTAAAGCAGTTTAGATTTTGTTGTGGGATCCTATTTCATCTGTCATTAATGTGCAGAACTGGGTGATGCATAGCAGCCATTATGCATCAGCAGTGGTGGAAAAGGACCTAAACTAATTCACCAGTTAAATAAAAGTGGAATGTAGCCAGAACAACATTGCTGCTCCTGTAAACAGAGCCATGGGACCTTTAATCCATCCATCCATCCTTTTTCCAATTGCTTCATCCAGTCCATTGTCAAGGGAGGGCCGGAGCTTATCCCAGCATGCAACGGGCGCAAGGCAGGGTACACCCTGGGTGGGACACCAGTCCACTGCAGGGAACACACAGACACCTGGTGTGACCACTCACACCAGGGCCAATTTTCCAAGCCCGTTAACAAATGAAAGAGATGTTCTTTTCCTATGAACTCTGTAACTGAAAGTGGAACTGATCTTGCAACAGTAAAGGAATACAAAAACATTTGACGGTTTTATTTAAAGCATTGCAATCTTTTGTACTCGGAGCTGAGGAGGTGCCTTGTCCTTGCAGAAGAAAAACAAGTTTAACAAAGTGATCAGGCCTGGTTGCAATATTACCTGCGCATCCTTGAACTCAAAAACATGTCTAACGAAGTGACATATGATTAATCCTGAACTTAAAATCTTCCATGACCCCTCTCACCCACTCTAATAGAATGTCCTCTCCTACCTTCTGAGAGGAGGTACCAAATCCCCTGCATGAAGGCTAAGAGAGCATTTACTTCATTTATACCCAAAAGCATTGAATTGTTGAACAAAGAAAAGATTGTTTGCAGGTAGGGATCTTATTATTGTTGATGTTGTTTTAGACACTTTACCAGCTAATCATCGGTTTTTAATCTTTTAGTACTGGACTAAGTTCTGATTGTGCGATGTTATTAAATGTTGTTTTGTATTGTGGTAATGTACTGCTGTTGTAGTGTATTATTGTTGTATATGTTAGATTATATGTTTATGAGCTTCTGATGTGCAAGACTAATTCCTTTAGGGGCAATAAAGGTTAATTCAACCTACTAGTATGTTTTTGGAGGAAGGAGACCGGGGCACCAGGCTGAAAATGCATGCGAACACAGATGGCACCCCAATTGATCCAAGGGCCCTATATAAGCTTAAATGATCAAGTTTTATGTTTCAGCCAAAGGAGAGATGGGGCGTTGAGTTGGAAATTCTGATCAAGAGGGAAGAATGCCACCTTTTTTCAGCTTTGCATGGTTCTTCTTTTGCCTCAGCTATGATTAATAAGCAAATGTCCACCAAAACATATTCTGAAACGCTTTGAGTTGAAGCTAGTTCCCTTCCTTACAATTCTTCACTTCCCTTGTTAGCAAAAGGTATTTTCTGTAGAAGGGCAGCTCTGTGGCGCAGTGGTTAGCATTGCAGCCTCGCAGCACTGGGGCCCTAGGTTCAGGTCTGGACCTGGGGTGCTGTCTGTGTGGAGTTTGTATGTTACCCCCGTGTTCTCTTGCGTTTCCTCAGGGTGCTCTGGTTTCCTCCCAAAGAAGTGCTGGTAGGTTAATTGGCTTCTGGGAAAATTGGCCCTGGTGTGAGTGTGGGGGCATTTGCATCTAACCTGTGATGGACTGGCGTCCTGTCCAGGATGTACCCTGCCTTGCACCTGGATAGCAACCCTGAATTGGATGAAGTGGTTAGAAAATGGATGGATGATTCCCCAAGCAGCGTAGCACAACTGCCAGGACACCAGACTGGCTGCGAGCCTGTTTTTCTGGCTATGTATCTGTGTGTGCCGGGTGATGGACTGGCATCCCTTCCAGGGTGTATCCTGCTTTGTGCCCATTGCCGGAATAGGCTCCGGCTCCGCCACTTCCCTGAATTGGAAAAAGTGATTAGAAAATGGTTGGATGTTCCTCAGGGATAATTCGTCCCGAACAACGTAGGAATGATTCCATGTTTATGAGTCTCGACGTTCTCTGGCACAGCAGATTTAGTGACCTCACAGAAGGCATAGCAAATTCCACTTAGGTCATGTTGCTTGAGCCGAAAGGAGAATGGTCCTGTCCTCATTAACTCCATTTTCCACACAAAAAAAAATGTATCTCATGTTTTATGTATTACTATTTTATTTTCTTGTACAATCGGCTTTAAAAAAAAATCGAAATTGTGTTTTAAACATTCAGATGGTTTGGAAGAGGGAAAGTGGTATGGATAATTAGGTAGGCAACACGTCAAGTAAGATTTAGACAGGGAAATGTACAGTGGTGTGAAAAAGTGTTTGCCCCCTTCCTGATTTCTTATCTTTTTGAATGTCACACTGAAATGTTTCAGATCATCAAACAAATTGAAATATTAGACAAAGATAACACAAGTAAACATTAATTCAGTTTTTAAATGAAGGTTTTTATTATTAAGGGGGAAAAATATCCAGACCTACATGGCCCTGTGTGAAAAAGTGATTGCCCCCCCTGTTAAAACATAA